ACGGACAAAAACTGGAAGTTGTACCAGCCTATCTAAAGGGTGCCACCTCCACATGGTGGAATACTAACCAAGCATTACCGAATGGTAACCCAAATAAAATTATCGCATGGACTGGTAACAACAATAATACCGATTTCATCCAAAACTTCCCTACGGCATTTAGAACTCAAACGTTGGTTGAGATCTGGACCACAGAGTTAGAACAAAGACGTCAACAACCTGGCGAGGACGTCAATACATATGCTGCTGCGTTACAAGAATTATATAGGAGAGTTGAGACGAACGCCTTCGCTTATCCTGACGCTATAAAAGCACGGAAGTTTGTCAACGGTTTATTACCGGATTTATATGTAACCGTCAAACCACACAATGACCAGACGTGGAATGGCGCTGTGGACCGGGCAAAAGCTTATGAATTAACTCATAAAGATCAACATGCCGTTAACGCCTATTTAAATAAATTTGCGCCGTCTGGCACCAGCAATCAATCAGATGATCTTCTTAAGGCGATTAACGAGTTAACTAAACAAGTTCAAAACTTAAGTACTGGAAATCGTGGTAATAGAGGTTATAATAATAGTGGTGATTTTAGAAATACGAGTCAATCAACGGCATATACACCAAACCGTCAAAATTGAGTCGTATGTTATTCATGTGGTCAACCCGGACATATTATTAGAAATTGTCCGAATGGTAACAATATCGGTGTTCCTAATAATCGACAAGCACCATTTATTAATAATACTAGTAATAGCAATACGACCGTCCCTCAACCAGCCAATGATAGTGGACAACAACTGGCACAAATCCAGCAGATGTTAGCCCAATTATTACCTCAAGATAATACTAGCGACCAATCTTTAAACTAAATGGCGTACCTTCGGAGGGTAAGCGTACATGCCAAAAGACAATCCCCTCAAACCTTACATTATTGGAAACGTACCCCGCTACTAGGACAACCCGTAGCATGTCGAGATTAAACCCGTTGGAAGGAACATTAAAGGAGAATCCTACTGAAGAGGAAAATGTATTACGGGCTATGCAACAAGTGAATAAAAGTAAACGACCGATAAAGACATCGGAAGTAAAACAAACTGAAGCTAAAAGGGCAGTACCAAAAAGAACCAAAAAGAAATTGGTTACTGTAGCCCCAATTAATAGAATGGTTGAGCCGTATACCCCTCAACAATTCTTTGACCAAAAGGCTGATATTACCAATGGTCAATTGTTGGCTATGAATCCGAAGTTTGGATTGACAATTGCCAAACAATTACGAAAACCTGTAGTTAGAAAAAGGGACGACGACCAGGATAAAAAAACGACTAAGATGGTAATCGACGAAGTGACTCAAGAAAATGGAAATACGCCTGAAGTCAATGATTTACTACAAGTAAATCTTTCAAAACCAAATGATGATAAAACCTCGGCGTTATACTGCGAAGCCTCGATAAACCATATCAAGTTCCCACTGATAGTTGATTCAGGATCAGCTGGGAGTATTATATCCTTATCGCTATTGAAGGATTTAGAAATAGAAATAACCCAAGCGTCGAAAACTGTTATGGTCAATGTAAACGGTGAAAGACGAAGGCCGTTAGGGGCAGTGACCAACCTGCCACTAAAAATACATGGTTGTATTATCCCTATGGACGCCATCGTTACGGATGCTAACTCATATTCTGCAATTGTTGGTAACGATTGGTTACGAAAGACTAAGGCTATCTTAAATTATGATAGCAATGTAATGGTAATTAAGTGGCAAGATGAAACGTTTGAAGTCGCCACTGAATGTAGGGAGATGCCTCAACACATAGTAAGTATTGAAGTACCCGACCTGGAGATAGACGAAGATGAAGAGGAAGCCGCTGACGAATCCGAAGAAGAAGAGTACGAAAGCGACAACGAGGAAACGCAAGATCAATTATTTTGCAATGCTCAATTTATAACTAAAGAACAAGCGCAAGAAATTGAAGATGAATTGAAAAATAATAATTTTATTAAAAAAGAGTTTTATTATCAATACGAGGAAATAGAAAAGGGCAATTTTCATACAGGAAAACTGAGTGAAGAACAACAGCAGAAATTTCAAAAGTTTATGGGGCGATATCAGAACTTATTCGCCTGGAATCCTGATGATTTCAGACGAACATCGGTAATTACTCATAATATCGATACCGGAACTGCCGCTCCAGTTAAACAAAGGTTTTACCTAACTTCATATCAAAACCAACTGTTTATAAAAGATGAAATACAATGGCTTTTAGAAGCAGGACTAATTATACCGTCAAAAAACCAATGGACTTCACCAGTAGTAGTGGTAGAGAAGAAAAATGGTAAAAAACGCCTTTGCGTGGATTACCAAAAATTGAACAAGGTTACGAAGAGGGATAATTACCCGTTGCCACGAGTAGATGATATGTTGGAAACCTTGTCAGAATCTCAATGGTTTTCATCCTTGGACCTTGCCAGTGGTTTTTGGCAGGTTGAATTGGACCCAAAAGACCGAGAAAAATCGACCTTTATCACCAGATTCGGAACATATGAATTTACGGTGATGCCCTTTGGTCTTTGTAACGCTCCCGCCACTTTTCAGCGTTTAATGGATACGATATTATGGGATATACTATGGCAATTCATCGTAGTATACATAGATGATATCAATATAGGTTCCAAGACATTCGATGAACATCTCCATCATCTGGAACAGGTTTTCTATCGATTGGGACAGGCCGGTCTCAAATTAAGCCCGGAAAAATGTTTCTTCTTTAAAGAAGAAATCCCCTTTTTAGGACATGTTGTAAGCTGAAATGGCATACAAACCGATCCAGAAAAGTTGCGAACTATCAAGGAGTTTCCTATACCACAGGATTTAACGCAACTAAGGGGATTTGTCGCCCTAGCATCTTATTACCGAAAATTCGTAAAGAATTTTTCATCTATCGTTGAACCGCTAAATCGTTTATTAAAGAAAAATGTCCCGTATGTGTGGAGTAAAGAACAACACGACGCTTTTGAACGGTTAAAGTGTTGTTTAATGATACCACCAATATTGGCGTACCCTAATTTCACCAAACCCTTTATTCTTTATACGGACGCCTCCACTTTCGCCATTGGAGCTATACTATCGCAAAAGAATGAAGAAAAGAAGGAACGAGTAATTGCTTATGCGAGCAGGACTCTCAATAAGCATGAGCGAAATTATGGCGTTACTGAATTAGAGTGTCTTGCCGTCATATGGGCAGTAAGACACTTTCACCATTACCTTCACGGTCAAAAATTCCTTGTTATAACTGATCATGCAGCGTTGAGATATTTGATGAATATGACTAACCCGGTCGGCAAATTTGGCAGATGGATAATGACTTTAAACGGATATGAATTGGAAATTATAAATCGCCCAGGAAAATTACACACCAACGTCGATACATTAAGCCGAATAAGAGTTTAATAAAACCGATATATTATATTTATCTTTACACACACCGGATTTACATTTTTGACACCTCTTTAACGGATTTCCCATCTTTGGATTAACGGAATGGATTTAACAACGTATTACTCACTCATCCGATATTTGACAGATTTCTCAATGCCGACCGATATCTCAAAAGAGCAGCAGGCTGCTATAAAAAGAAAGTCTTGATATTTTATAATTTTAAATAACCAGTTATACAAAAAGAATAAAGATAATCCTAACAGGCCGATTAGAGTAGCTAAAGAAAGTGAAATAGAGGAAATTTTATATCATACACATTCAGATCCTTTAGCTGGACACTTCTCAATTGACGAAACCTATCGAAGGGTAAAAATCCGATATTACTGGCCGCAAATGTTTGAGGATGTTCGTAGATATGTACGAACATGTGACGAATGTCAACGCAGAGGAAAAAACCGACGCGTAGAACCTCTGCATCCAATTAAGGTCAGACAACCTTTTGACAGAATAGGTATGGACATTGTTGGACCGCTTCCTGTAACGAAAAATGGCAACAAGTATATAGTGGTTGCCACTGAATATCTAACTAAATGGCCTGAAGCGAAAGCCATTCCTGACGCAAAAGCATCCTCAGTAGTCACATTTTTCTATAATGATATTATATGCCACCATGGCTATCCCAAGGAAATATTAACAGACCGTGGAAGCCACTTTGTAAACGAAATGTTGAATTCTCTATGTGATAATCTCGGTACTAAACATAGACTATCAACGGCATATCACCCACAGACCAATGGATTGGTGGAGCGTTTTAACCGAACGCTATGTGAAGCATTGGCTAAATATGCCAATGAAAACAAGGATAATTGGGATATATATATACCATCTGTCCTGTTTGCCTATAGAACCAAGCGGCATAATACTACACGCCATGAGCCTTTTTACCTCATGTATGGTTGGGATGCAGTATTGCCAATTGAATTTGCGATAGAAACTTCTCAAGTTAATTATCCTGAAGATAATTGGCAAGATGATCTTACTAAGCGCATACATACATTAACCGGTAAAGTAGTAGGTGATAGACTTGAGACACAGGATATGATATACAAATTGCAGCAAAAGCAGAAACAACGTCATGATGCTGATCTTAAGGAAATTATCTTCAAGATAGGTGACCTTGTTCTATTATACCAAAGTCAATTTAAAGGAAAACAGAAGTTACAAGAACGTTGGAAAGGACCATATTATGTCCATGAGATTATAGGGGATGGGCATACAAATTTAGGACTATGGAAGGAAAAATTTTAAAGGTCCCAGTAAATGCTGATCGGCTGAAATATTATCACCAACGGTGATGACTTAATTAGTTTATGTTGCATGAATGACATAATCATAAGATGAAATGCATGTACATGCATAAATTAGGATTATCGAAAAAAAAAAAAAAAAAAAAAAAATATATATATTTTTTTTATATATATATGTGTGAATTTTTTTTTGATTATAGGTTATATTAGGTTATATTATTTATTGTTTATTTTAAACTTATTATCGATATTTATCTATGGCAGATACAGTGAATGCACACCAAAAGATTCTTGAAGACCTTTATCAAATTTTCCTAATTGAAGTTACGCCACTAGTGCCTCCATATAACGAGGAAGCAAGTATGGATAGTAAATTCGAAACATTAAGGGAGGCTATGAGACGCTCAAAAAGAATGGGTGACAGACGAATGCATTTGGTAAATGCATTTTTCTTGGGACAATTTTTGGAAAAGAAAGTAAAAACCAATGCTTTGCGAAGCCACTACACACAACAACTGACGCTACATTATCGTATCACATCCCAACGAGTATACTACCTGTTTGAAGCCTTTGGCGTAAGTCAAATTATGAGGACCGTTAATATTACCTTAACTTTGGTCAGAAAGTTGAGCCAGGAGGAATATCAAGATCTGGTCATGAGATCTTTGGAGATTTTCAACGGGGTTGAAAATTAAGCGGAGGGTGATGTTACGATAAAAAACGATGTGACGAAATCACGTGATATAACCATTGATCATTTATCGGGATGATTAATATTACTGTTGGATGATCAACGTCATATGACGGGAGGATCAATGTTCAAAATGTTTGATATATCAAATATATCAAATATATCAGATATATTGCACATATTAAATATATCGCACATATTAAACATATCAAACATTTTAAACATTTTTAGCTTAGTGTTTTTACATATAAATAGATGTGTTATTTTTCAATGTATTTTAGATAGGTACCCAAGTCACTAAGATATTAAGTGATAATTTATTGATATTAAATAAAATATTTTATTATTATAAATATCTTTGGTTATCTCATTGTTAATTGTTGTCATATACACCTAACCTATTGTTTTATTGTCATTTATTGTCATAATCCTTTATTTGTGTCTGATCGTATTTGCCATTGGGAGTGCAATACTTTATTCACATCTGATCTGATTTGAAGTAAATTTGGTCAATTGTAATTTAGAGATATTAATTTTATTTATTAATCTTGCATTAACTATCGTTATATTACATATACACATATACCTTCTGCTTACCCTAAATAATCTTTTGTTTATATTAATAAACGATAAAAGAACTGATACTAACAATATCATAATTATTAAATTTTTGGCGTGGGAAATCAATTGTAATAAAATTGCTAATCTTTTTTTTTCCCATTTATCAGAATATAAAATTTTCTTTAAAGCAATATGTCTGTCTCAATTTATGATATTGATTTCTGTAATAAGTGCGGTTATTACATGATATTATAAAATATAAATTATTTTTAACTTGGCCGGGATATGAAAACTGAATTTATAACTTTGCGTCGCGTAATTTTATTTAAAAATGAAGCAATAACTTTTAATGTTATATTATGCCTAAAATACTTATAAACATTGCAATTAATTTTTTTCAGAAGTTCACGTAATTTTCAGAGTAGGTTCAAACCAATTATTGTAATAATTTACGGTTACCTACTGACTTTTTTCCGGCTGGTGTATATCATAAAGTTAAAATTAAGATTAGATTTTGATTATTCCTGGAAAAAGTTATTTGTTTATTAGAAAGAATGGTCATTATTAAGAATATTTTGGAAGAATCTTAAAGCAATTATGATGCTTATCTCTCTAACTGTAACTTTTCTAAAATTATTAATAAATTCCAGGCAAATATAGCCAGAATGCAATTAAAGGGAAATGTATTATTACCCTTATAATATTTATTTAAATTAATATTTTACCTAGTGCTCCTACCGGGTCAAGTCGGGTCGGGTTTTGAGGAAATATTCGACCCGATCTGAATAAAAAAATATAAGACTCGTATTTATTCAGGTCTCATATTTTTGTAACCCGACCCTTGACTCGACCGAGTATAATTTAACTCGTGTAACCCGGGTTAGACCCGAACATTTAAGTAAAATGGGTACTAACTTATATTATGTGAGATTTTTTTCTAATAATAACAAAATTAATTTCCTTTTATTTGAAAAAAAGTCAACTTAGTGATTAACCACTAGTAGCCACCTGAAATTTGTATCATGAATGGTTATACAAAACATGTAACACTAGCTCTTATTTTTCTCCTAGACTAAATTATCTAATATAAAATTAAAAATATGAATTTTGAACCTGGTTTAATATAATAAAAGTCAAAGAGTTAGGCAAAATAATTAGCAGATATTCAAATCAAAGATAAATTGGAATTCTAAAGCTATCAGAAAAATATTATTCTCAAAAGCCAAATGTTAATTTTTTTTTATTTTTCTGATTAAGCTATGTTAATATTTGTTAAAACTAATTATTGGCTTAATTTTAGCCAAAATTATAATTTTGCCAGAATTAAAAACATCCGGGTCGATCCGGGTCAAATCCGGGTCAAGGAAATTTATAACCTGACCCGGCGGGTCGGGTCATGCGGGTCATGTGGGTCACGGGTCATTAAAAATCGTTAGTACCGACCCAATTTAAAAGTCGAGTCAGGTCAAATTAACCCAGGTTGACTCGTATCATTCGGAGCACTAATTTTACCTTTTTTTAAAAAAAATAAAAATAGGTATTGCGCTTAAATTTTTGTTTTTAAATTTAAAACAAATTTTTATTATTATTTTTATTTTTATTTCACAGAGTGAACTAGTTCCAGTACAGATTATATACAGTATAGTGATAATTAGTTTAACGCGTCAGGTGAGTAATTACATGTGATTTGATGTACGATCTCTGTACTGAATATAGAATGAAGTAAGCGCAATTTTAAAAACAATATGCATCATTTACTTTTAATTCTGCCTTAGCGTGGCTGTAACGGCCAGCTAAATAAATATTACTAAGAATCGGCAAGAAATCTTAGATTGTTATTTGGTTTGTGTGACATATATAAGTTTTGTTAATTTTTAAAATATATACTGTAATAACGATTTCATTTCTTAAAAATTAGAGTTATGATTTTTTAAAAAAGTGATAATGGTCGAAATAGTTGCTAGACACAAATTGGATATAATCAATTTTGCGTCAAATTATGAAATTGGTATTAATTTTGGACCTATAATAATACTTAGTTGTATAATGCTACATATCATTAAAAAGATCATGTAAACTTTATATATATGAAATAATGTAAATAAAGAACTACATTCTGTAATTAATTTTTTATTAAGTCAGACTGTACACAACGTAAATAATGAAGAAATGCTTTTGGGCAGTATTAAAAGAAACGTGAAACATTTTTAAAATATTTAACTCTTTTTTTTAAACGTCTTTGGCCGAAATTTCTCTGCTTTTTCAAAATAAAACTTTAATGAAATATATATAACCTATAATACAGTAAAAGGAGTGAAAAAAAAACTCAAGTATAGTTTGTCTTTTTTTTTAGTTGAATGATTGATAAGAATTAAAAATAAAAGTCAGCATTATAAATCAACTCTTGAAATGAGTATAAAAAATTTTACATTATTTATTTTTAATTTTATACATGAGAAATGGTTTTATATACTCATTATTAATTTGATAAGTTATATTTAATAATTGAAAGTTATAAATAAAAAAGATTTATTTAAATTACAAACTAAGAAATTTGTAAAATATTTACTACTCTAACTTTAGTGTTTAAATAATTCTTAAAATATAAAAAAGGAATTATTTAAATTACAAACAAAGAATCTTGTAAATTATTTACTAGTACTCTAACCTTTAGTGTTTAAATAAATCCAAAATGAATAAAATAAAAAACAATTTCTGTTGAATGCATGATATCAAATATCACTTAAAAAACTATAAATCTTTTTTAAAAATACACATACAATTAGTTAATTTTCATCTGTTTTAATATATAAATAATTAAATAAATAAAGTTAATTAATTTGCAAGATTAATTCTTTTATATATTATAACACATACCTAATGACTAAAATCTTTAATTATATAATTATTCAAATCTTCACTTACTAGCATTTGCTTTTACACTAGCTTGTGAACCTTCACTTTCAAGAATTTGATTCATCTTTTTACTAGTATTTTCATCTAAATAATTAAATAAATAAATTAATTTCACATAAATAATTTGCAAGATTAATTTTTATATATTATAGTACATACCTAATGGTCTTGAATCTCTAATTGCACAATCATATGCTTGTGAATATTCACTATCAAGAACTTCATTCAATTTTTTACCAGTAAAATCAAGTAATCGACTTATATAACATGCTTTAGGATGAGATTTAGTAGAAAGGTTGTTATGTCCAATTGGTGCATTTATAAATTCTATAATGTTGCTTTTTAATTCTTCACTGACTCCATAAGAACGGAAAATCCAATTTTCAATAATTTTTAATACTTCTTTAGAAGATGGTCTTTTTAATGGATCTTCATTCCAACATTTTTTCATTAAATCTACATAACATTGTGGAGTATTTTCAATAATTTCTGGACGTTCACCTTTACAGATACTTAAACTAAGTTGAAAATCATGTGCTCTATTATTAAACGGTGGTACTCCAGATGTAAATTCCCACATAACCATAGAAAAACTATATATATCACTCTCTGTAGTATAAGATTGGCCTCTTAAAACTTCAGGAGCCATAAATGGTATAACACCATAAATATCATACTCTTTCAAAACCGATTTTACAGGTTGACATAATCCTAAATCACTAATATAAAATTTGTCCTTATTCTTATCATTATGATTTAAAATATTGCCATCATGAAAATCACAATGAATAAGACTTTTTTCGTGCATCTTACTAAGCCCAGAAATAATTTCGTACAACATATATAATTTTTGATTCCAATTATTTTCAACTATTCTTGTTAAATTTTCTCTTAAATTACCTTTATTTGCATAATCCATTACTACCATATATTTTGAAGTTTTTGGATCTTCTGTAAATCCATAAAAATATATAATATCATTTGAACTTAAAACAGTTGTATGATATTCCCACTATAAAATAATAATAATAATTTATTAATATAAATAAATTCTAATTTAAATTAAAAATAGAAAATAATATATTATATTATCATACTTCTTTTAAAAATTCATTTAAATTTTCATTTAAATTCTTATGGCATTTAAGAATTACTTTTTCATCTTTATTATTCTTTAACCAAGTAGCTTTATATATAGTACCAAATCCTCCTTCATTAAAATATTCAACTTTTCTAAATGTGTTATAAGGAATCCATTTTAATCCATTTTTAAGAATAAAATCATCTATAATTGCATTTTCACTTTTTCCAAATCTATAAATTTAAATTATATTATAGCTTATATTATTATAATTACACTAAAATAAATTATTACTTACTCTAAATTTAAATAAGAATTTAATGTAATATAAGTCTTAGTTTTTTTTGATAAATATATATAATAACCTATAATTTACAACTTACCAACTAAAGTAACAGATATTTTTTTAATGAAAGAATTCAGTTAATAAATAAATATTATTTAAAATATATAACAATAGAAATATAAATATCTTACAAGCTATATCATAAATAATTTTTTAAAGAAATTAGTTTAAATTATATATAATATTATATAAATAAGTAATAATAAATAACTTACACCCTATAATATTTAATAAATAAAGAAGTTAGTTAGTTTAAATTATAAGTAAATATTACATAGATAAATAATAATAAAATTAAATAAATAACTTACACCCTATATTATTTAATAATTTTTAAAATATGAATTTAGTTAGTTTAGGTTATATGTAAATATTATATAAATTAGTAATAATAGAATTAAATAAATAACTTATAACTTACGATCTATTAAATAAAGAAATTAAAGAAATTAGTTTAAATTATATGTAAATATTATATAATAAATTAAATAAATAATTATATATCTGTCTCTTATACACATCTAGATGTGTATAAGAGACAGAAATTATACAGTTCACCCTCGCTATAGTGAATTTTTATATAGTGAATAATTTGCTATAGTAAAGAAAAGCTCAGGTACGGATTTTCTATATAAATAATAATTCTTAATACAGTTCACCTTCGCTATAGCGAATCCCTTACTATAGTTAATCTTAACCTTCAGCCCATGAGCTTCACTATAGCGAGGGTGAACTGTATGTAATTAGTAATAAAATTAAATAAATAACTTACTCCCTATATTATTTAATAATTTTTTTAATAAAGAAATTAGTTATTTAAATTATATGTAAATAATCTAAAATAAATAATAATAGAATTAAAATAATAACTTATGACTTACCAACTAAAATAAATTACAAAATAATTTTGTAAATAAAGAAATTAGTTAGTTTAATTTATATATAAATATTATATAAATAAGTAATAATTGGATTAAATAAATAGCTTACACCCTATATTATTTAATAATTTTTTAAATGAAGAAATTTGTTAGTTTAAATTATATGCAAATATTATATAATAAGTAATAATAGAATTAAATAAATAACTTACGCTCTATTTTAACAATTTTTTAAATAAAGAAATTAATTAGTTTAAATTAGATTCAAATATTATATAAATAAGTTAAATAAAAATAACTTATAACTTACGATCTATTAAATAAAGAAAATTAGTTAGTTTAAATTATGTGTATATATTAGTATATAAATAAGGAATAGGATTAGATAAATAACTTATGACTTACCAGCTAAAATAAATTACAAAATAATTTTTTAAATAAAGAAATTAGTTAGTTTAAATTATATAAATATTATATAAATAAATAATAATAGAATTAAATAAATGACTTACGCTCTATTATGATTTAATAATTTTTTAAATAAAGGAATTAGTTAGTTTAAATTATATGTAAATATTATAAATAAGTAATAATAGAATTAAATAAATAACTTATACTTACGATCTATTAAATAAAGAAATTAATTAGTTTAAATTATATGTAAATATTATATAAATAATTAATAATAGAATCAAATAAATGACTTATAACTTACAATCTATTAAATAAGAAATTTAGTTAGTTTAAATTATATGTGAATATTATATAAATAAAATAATAATAGAATTAAATAAATAACTTACTCTCTATATTATTTAATAATTTTTTAAATAAAGAAATTATTTAGTTTAAATTATATGTAAATATTATATAAATAAGTAATAATAGAATTAAATAAATAACTTATGACTTACCAACTAAATTACAAAATAATTTTTTTTAATAAAGAAATTAGTTAGTTTTAATTATACGTAAGTATTATATAAATAATAGAATTAAATAAATAACTTACTCCCTATATTATTTAATAATTTTTTAAATAAAAAAGTTAGTTATATGTAAATATTATATAAATAAGTAATAATAGAATTAAATAAATAACTTGTAACTTACGATCTATTAAATAAAGAAATTAATTAGTTTAAATTATACATAAATATTATATAAATAATAAGTAATAATAGAATCAAATAAATTATGACTTACAAACTAAAATAAATTACAAAATAATTTTTTAAATAAAGATACTAATTAGTTTATATATTTTAAAATAAGTAACAATATAATTAAATAAATAACTTTTGACTCACCAACTAAAATAAAATTTTTTAAATAAAGAAATTAGTTAGTTTAAATTATTTGTAAATATTATGATATAAATGAGTAATAATAGGATTAAATAAATAACTTACGGGCTATTTTATTTAATGATTTTTTGGATAAAGAAATTAGTTAGTTTAAATTATATGTAAATATTATAACAAGTAATAATAAAGTTAAATAAATAACTTACGAACTATATTATTTAACAATTATTTAAATAAAGAAATTAGTTAGTTTAAATATTGTATAAATAAGTATAACTTATAACTTACGATCTATTAAATATAAAGATTAGTTAGTTTAAATTATATGTAAATGTTATATAAATGTTGTGCGTCAGATGACGGCTGCCTAGTAGTAATGCTGGCCAACCCACTTAAGGCATTATAATACTGGGCCGATAATGTAGGCCGGCGTCATCTGACGCAAATCGGCAGCTGACGCACAACATAAATAATTAATAATAGAATTAAATAAATACTTACTCTCTATATTATTTAATAATTTTTTTAATAAAGAAATTAGTTAGTTTAAATTATATACAAATGTTATAATAAAATTAAATAAATAACTTATGACTTACCAACTAAATTACAAAATAATTTTTTAAATAAAGAAATTAGTTAGTTTAAATTATATAAATGATAGAAATATCAATACCATATAACTTACACCCTATAGTATTATTGATTATTAATTAGTTAGATATAAATATAATATAAAAGTATTTACTGTAAATTATATATATTACTTACAATCTAGTTATTTAAATTAAGAATATAATTAGTTGAATTATATAAAATATTAAACAAATAAATATAATATATATGATATTGTAACTTACCATCTGTAATATAATTAATTATTAAATAGTTATTTAAATAAAGAGTTTAGTTATTTGAATGTTATGTAAAATAAATAAACAAAGAATTAAAGATTTAAATAACTGATAACTTTAAATTAAGAATATAATTAGTTGAATTATATAAAATATTAAACAAATAAATATAATGTATATGATATTGTAACTTACCATCTGTAATATAATTAATTATTAAATAGTTAGTATTTAAATAAAGAATTTAGTTATTTGAATGTTATGTAAAATAAATAAACAAAGAATTAAAGATTTAAATAACTGATAACTTACCAACTATAGAATTATTAATCATTAAATAAATTATTTAGTTATATGAAATACAATAAAAAATAATGAGTAATTAGCTATTATTCAATTATATTAACTTACGAGCTAAATATTTAATATAATTTTTATATAATATAATTAGTCTAAATTATATTTGCATATTATATAAGGTATAATTATAGATATTTTATAAATAATAATTTAATATTTCAGCTTGTTTGATATACCTCTAGATTCCTTGGTACTACTTCCTTCAAATTCCTCAATACTTCTTCTTTCAAATTCTTCAGTGCCACTCCCCTCAAATTCTTTAGTGCCTAGTTTTGTTATATTGCAAATTTGGTTTAATTATATTTGATTATTTACAATTAATTTTTTTAATAAATAAAAATCTTAGTATTTCATCTTTATTCTGTATATTATATTTACCTTTCGGTTTCTTGATATTATACAAAACTAGTTTTATTATATTGAAGTTTGGTTTAAAAATTTTGAATAATTCTAATTTATATTATATATTTATGCTATATGCTTTACCTTTACCAATACGTTGACCCATTACTATATTAAATTTTCTCTAATTGGAAAAGACAAAAGTAAATATTTTTTTTTTCTTTTTCTTTTTATTATTAAACGTCTTTATTAGTATAAATAAATATGGTAATAATATTTTATGCAAATGTATGATGTTGATCACAACACTGCATATATACAGTATGAAACAATCGGAATTCGGAATGTGTCAATCATCAAACAAAGTTATTTAAAGTGTAAAGATAATTGTAAATATCGTCAAATGATCTGTATAATGCATATGGTTGCATTTTTTTACTATTTTACTTTTATTTTTATTTTTAGATTCCACGTGAACTAAGTCACGGTACAAATTACAAGGAGTCAAGGACTTATGCAGATACATATGTTTATTTTTATATCACAAAATGAACCAAGTTACAGTAAAGAATACAAGAACCCTACAAACTAGGGCCTAAAAGTATACTATATAAACTGAAACCAAAACCCGTACTACCCTTGCGGAATCAGGGGTTGCCACCTTGATTGTAAAAATATGTGGAGGGCGGGAGAGGGATGAACCCTCAACCGACCTGCACATACATATTTTATTATATATTAGTACTTACAAATATATGTAATTTAAAATCACGTGATCGTATATCTCTAATTTTTCGCACGGAACGTTTATCTTGAGAAAAAAAAGAAAATAACAAATATTTTTTTTCTTAAAATGCATAAAATAAAATCATTTTATTTCAAGTTAGCTTGATAAAATTAATATTTAAGTAATGAATTTTACACTTGTTGAACACTTAATTTTTTTAAGCCTATTTAATTTAGCCAAATATATAATCTATAAAATTGAAAATAAATATGGCACAATAAGTAATATTAATGTTCTTTTATTTCACTTTGTTTCTGGTTGTTTTTTTCATTATTTTTTTGTCATTTTTTATTTATTTATTTGATTATTTCTATCAACTTATTAATACAGTTTTCCTTCTTATTATTATTATTGTCAGGGTTTCTGAGCGTCCTGAAATTATTGTAAATACTCCACAATAGCCCTGTTCATTTCCGGTCGGTCGCATTTTTCGGTCAGATTTGAGTTAATTTTGATTGGGCTGATCAGTTTGTACAACGCAACCATTTTCTGAACTTTTATCCCAATTTTTTTGGGGGTTTTTTGGTCGAACGCCAAAAATAACCAACCAAAATTAGATAATTTCTGTTTACGTGACAATTAAGATAATAATGTATATCAATAGAAGGAGTTCGAACTAAATTTCATCTAAAGCAGTTCAATTTGCGATCGAAAATAAAAATATTTTATTGGATAATTTTTGTACAACAAAATCCGACCGAAAAATGCAACCGACCGGAAATGAACAGGGCTAATGTATGTAAATTTGATGAAAAATGTTGGGATAAAGATCCATCAAAAAGACCATCTACATCAGAAGTGCTAGATACTATTAAAAAAATGGGTTATTCTTCTTCATAAAATGGGGTTAGTGATATTGATAAAGTAATATATTATGGAATTTATAAATGCACCAATTGGGCATAATAACCTTATTGTAAAATCTCATTCACAAGCATTCTATACAAGATTTTACTAAATGAAATTTTAGAAGAAACTCAAAGATTGAAATTTCTTGAATTGAAACAAAAAGATACTGAACAGAATCTTATTAAATTAGAAACAATTGCTGAAGCTTATTATCAAAGTTCTCAAAATGAGTTAGAAGAAAAATAATTGACATGTCAAATATTCAAATGGAATTAAGATTTAGCTATACAAATTAAAGAATCTGCAGTTGGAAGTTAGTCTTGTGACAGAAAATATTCTTAAGTTGAATTTTTTTAATTATGATAAATACAATATTTTTAAATTTACTACTAATTCTTAGGAAGGAACTAGAACTCAATTAAATTTTAACATGATGGCAGGAGATATAGAAAGAATTTGAATGAATTAAAATTAGAATTAAAACAAGAAAAAAAAGAATTAAAAAATTTAGCAAAAGATTAGAATTAACAATATTGGTGGATTACTGTATAGTTTATAAATGTACATTTATTGATTCATTGAAATGAGATTCTTAAGGTACTTATTAAAACATACAAATATATATTCTAGAATTTATTGGACATTTATAACACTCATATTTTTAACAAAAAATATATACCGTATTTGCCCGAAAATAAGCAACAAGTTTTTGCACATAATGCCGGCCAAGTTTTGATAATGTGGGCCAAAATTTGTTATAATGCGGGCCATGTTGCTTATTTTCGGTGATTACTTATTTTTGGGCAAATACGGTAGTTCTAGAACTTTTTTTTTATTAAGTTATCATTATCTGTTGTGATTATATTTTTGTTAAAGGTTTTAATAAAAGAACATTAAAAAAACCTTTTTTAAAATGTTTATAAATGTTTTTACTTATATTTAAATTAAAACAAGTAAACAGTATACACTATACAGTATGTAAAGTAATTTTTATCAATATTTATCAATTTCTCATGTTTCATAAACTTTAGCTTCTCATGAGACTTATTTATTTTTAGGGTCGATTGATTTAATTTTTGGAATAATAACGAATTTTTTAATTAACAAAAAAAGTATGTTATATGATCAAGCATTTTTAACCGAGCAAATTCCATAGTATCATTTTTATTTATGACTTCAATGATTGATAAATTTGATGTATCAGATAAATCTTCAATATTGTCAGAACTCTAGGAATCACGTTATTGATATCAGATATAGCCGGAAACCACTAATTTTGTTTTTTTTTGTAGTGTTTTTTTCGTAAAGTAATTTTCACGTAAATTCATCTTCCCAAATCTGATTCATAGCAAAATCATTTTCTGATGCGTCAAGCATATCATATCTTCGTATTGATCTGCATCATCAGTATTATCATTTATCATTATCTTCGTCTTGATACACACAAACGTCATATTAAGCACTTTTCCCATTGTTCCTAATTTTGCCGACTTAGAGCAGACCGTATTACAATAATTTTTGCCAACATTACATATCACGTGCACTCGAGAGTCAGTCACACGAAGGCGAGCATTTTTGGGTTGGGCAACTTAGTCAAAAGTGTATTCAATTAGAACAATACCGGCTGTTTAGGGCTGCTCGGACCAGACACTGTACAGGACTATATAAAATTATTTATACTTGATTCTTCTTCATAAAACATGAATTTACCTATTGTGAGTTTGTGACAATAAATATGATTGGCTTTTTTTGGCGGTTAACCCTGTACATGTGCGACTCAACCTATCTATTTGTACATCATCTTCTGTTACAATTACAGGGTACTTAATGTGGGACCTGCTAAAAAAGTAAGGCTTTTTCTAATATAGAGTTTTGTGTAGTAGACAAGATCATTTCCTGAATGGGGGAGTAGTATAAGTCCCCCTTTTTTATTCATTTTAATAATTATAATAAGCTTTTACCAAAATTATCACAAAATTTTCTTAAAATTTTAGATGATGAAGAATATTATGATATTTGAAGTTGGTAATGATCCTAATATAAAAATATTTTGCGCTCATATGATTATTTTAAATTATCGTTCTCCTTATTTGAGAAGAATTTTGTCAACTAATAAAAAGAAAAATGATGAAACCTTGGTACATATTAAATTATCGAATATTTCGCCCGAAATTTTTAGTGTGATTTTGAGGTAAGAAAAAAGATTATAAATTAGAAGTTAATAAGTATTTTTTTTTTTAATTTGTAATCATTTATTTTAGGTATATTTATGGAGGAAAGTTATCATTGGAAGAATATGATAATTCAGATATTATTAAAATCTTGATCGTTGCTAATGAACTTAGTCTTCAAGAATTATTTCCCTATTTAGAAACCTTTTTGATTGAAAGAAAAGCGGATTGGATGGAACAAAACTTTGATTTGATATATCGAACGAGTTTTGAAAATAATTCTTTTTTACGATTACAAAATTACTGTACTGATTTAATTGCTAAAGCGCCCAATAAGATTTTCAATTCACCAAAATTTTCTTCAATACCAGAAAAACTTTTGGTCTCACTTATTCAAAATAAAGGTACTCAAGCAAGTGAAGTANCCCAATAAGATTTTCAATTCACCAAAATTTTCTTCAATACCAGAAAAACTTTTGGTCTCACTTATTCAAAATAAAGGTACTCAAGCAAGTGAAGTACAAGTTTGGGAACATACGATTAAATGGGGAATTTCTCAAAATCCGAAACTTCCCTCTAACATTGAAAACTATTCAAAAGATGATTTTAACGCTTTAAAGAATACCTTACAACAATGTATTCCTTTAATTAGATTTTATAATTTAACTTCTAAGGAATTTTCGGAAAAAGTTTTACCTTATAAAAAAGTTTTTCCAAAAGAATTATATAAAAGTTTAATAAAAGATTTTTTAAATAATGATAGAAAGCCAATTGAACAAGTTGAAAAAATGGAACCATGTGTAACAGATGAGATTATAGAAACAAATTTAAAAAAATATTGATTCTGAAATCATTACATTTCAACATTCCAAATTAATCACAAAATGGATTGATAGATTAGAATGTACGAACGAAATTAAAAATTCGCATGAATTTAAATTAATTTTTCGTGCATCTTGTGATGGATTTAATCCAAAAAATTTTCATAATGTTTGCGATAATCAATCTCGTACTGTAACGATTATTAAAGTTAAAGACAGTAATGAAATTTTGGGAGGGTATAATCCACTTAAATGGAAATCTGATAATAGCTTTGGTATTACCAAAGATAGTTTTATATTTTCTTTTAGAAACAGTAATTATATTTTAAGTCATGTAATCAATGAAAGGGAAGCCATGAAAAATGATTCATTCAATGGTCCATCATTTGGAATTGATTGACATGTGTTTATTTTTAGTTTTTGGATTAAGAGTTCGTTGCAAAAGAACTAATTATGAAAAACAGATTAGAGAAAATGATGAAAGTTCTTTTGTAAAAGATTTTGAAGTATTTCAAATTTTGTAGAATTACGTGAATAA